GAGTGAGTGTGTGTGTGTGTGTGTGTGTGTGTGAGTGAGTGTGTGTGTGTGTGAGTGAGTGTGTGTGTGAGTGTGTGTGTGTATGAGGATGTGTGTATGTGTGTGTGTATGAGGATGTGTGTGTGTGTGTGTGTGTGTATGTGTGCAATGCATTTAATGAAAGATGCAGTGAGACTCCAGCTGATCTGAGGGTGAGACGCTCACCTGTCTGTCTTTCTCTGCTGCTTCTGTCCAACATCTGAAGCAGCGCTCATTCAGAATCAGACATGAACTCTTCAACCTGTGTACATCAGCAGCTCTATAAATCTTGTGCTGTAGTTGATTAAAGGCCATGATGAATGAAAGATGGTGACATTTAACTTTACTACCATCATCCACATCAAAACACAGAGAGACAGGAAAGCTTGTTCGTTTTGAAAGTAAAGCTCAAACATGAGTTACTGTGGGAATTCTGCTTAATTCAGTCACCGAAGACAAAAGAAGACAGAAGCAGCATCAGACGTGCTAACCTTGGGAAAAAAGGTGCAACTTATTGAGTTATTCAATATATAAATCGACAATGAAGAAAACAATACAATAATATATTCTTAAGACAGGGATGCAGACGTATCAGGGGTTAAAAACATGACAGATGCCTCCTGTGAAGAACATATTTGTGTATTTTATGTATTAATTACATGCTTACAATCCTTTTAGCATGTTGATACAGAAAAAACCGTACTGCAGCTATTAAAAGAGCAGCCATGATCTCATGAGCTCACTAATTATGAGGGAATGCAGAAAGCAGCGGCTCAGAATAGACTGACCTTTCATCAGTCTCACATACAGCGCCCATGTTTACTGATACTGTACGCCAGGGTTATTCTACATGAGCCCAGAGTAAACAGCCGCGGATGTGACGCAGTGCAGGACTGCATGCTGGTTTGGAGCAGCAGATCCGTCTGAGAGAGTGGTCTAAAGTTCACAGACATCATGAGCTCAATGTCTCTCTCTCTCTCTCCTCCAGAACAGCTCTGATGTGTTCCTCGCTCTGTCATTTCAGCAATAAACTCAAACGAGCGCTGGGACTGTAAACAACAACCTGCAGTACTTTACAGTCCAGTTCACCGAGAGATTCTGGGACGTTACGAGCAGCGATAAGCTTCAAGAGGAATGTGTTTTTGTGAGGATGAAACTCATTAAGAGCACTGCCAAGCATCAGCAAAGACCCATCCACTCATCACTGCGGTAAAACAATTAAACGGCAGGGTAAAAACTACACTAATAATATGCTTATAATAAAATACAACCATAGTTGCACTACCAGTCAAAAGTTTTTGAACAGCAATATTTTTAATGTTTAAAAATATTTTTTGAGAATTTTTGATGAATAGAAAAATCCAAAGATCAGCATTTATCTGAAATAAAAAGCTTTTGTAACATTATACACTATTCCATTCAAAAGCTTGGAGGAAGAAATTATAGAAATTAATACTTTTATTTAGCAACGATGCTTTAAATTGATCAAAAGTGAAGATAAAGACATAATGTTACAAAAGATTTCTATTTCAGATAAATGCTGTTCTTCTGAACTTTCTATTCATCAAAGAAACCTGAAAAAATTCTACTCAGCTGTTTTCAACATTGATAATAATCAGAAATGTTCCTTGAGCAGCAAATCAGCATATTATACTGATTTCTGAAGATCATGAGACACTGAAGACTGGAGTAATGATGCTGAAAATACAGCTGCGCATCACAGAAATACATTATATATTAAAGTATATTCAAACAGAAAAAGTTATTTTAAATAGTAAAAATATTTCAAAATTTTATGTTTTTGCTGTCCTTTGGGTCAAATAAATTCAGGCTTGGTGGAGCAGAAGAGACTTCTTTAAAAAAACATTAAAAATCTTCCTGTTCAAAAACTCTTGACTGGTAGTGTATGTTTAATCATTTAACAGATGCTTTTGACTTAAAATGAAAGGATTCATCCGTATGATCACGCATAATTCTTCCTGAAAATATTCCACGTTGTTAAAATCAATGAAATCCAGTCAAACTCAACAATATTGAATAGTGACTTGGCAGATGTCACATCACGAACAAAGCTTATGGCCTGCACGTGATCGATGCTAAATGTGTTTGATGCAGTGCAATACAGGCTGTAAAGGAGGAGGAAACTTCTTTATTTCGCATAATAAAGCATTTTAACATTCGTAGCCTATGTGGAAGCGCCACAGAAACACGTCTGCGTTTGATGCTCTCTCTGTTCAGAAACAAACATCTTCAAATCGCGTGCTCCTGTAAAGCTTCATTATGTATTTCAAGTTTAAAGGGAAGTACACGGCTTCTGCGTTTGGAAATGAGCGTGAGCTTGTAGATCAGCCGTTTTACAAGCGATCGTTTGGGAAATGAAAGAGTAAAGCAGAGGTCTGCGTGTCTGCGGCCGAACGCAGCGCTGCCCTCGGGGCTCGAACGCTGGGAACGTTTGATGTGCTGAGAGCTGCGGAGACCAGGTGTGTAAAACTGTACATTTGCCTCCTAAATACAAACAGAGAAAGTGAAAGAGTGCTTGACCTTCTGCAGAGATGAACAATTCCAGCAGTAAACGGCCCTCTGTTTAGCTTCCTCGATTAGATTTATTACCCTCGTGGATTCTCCATCAGCCTTTGAATTCAGCTCGGGCTTTGATGTTTGTCTGTACGACACCGACAAGACGAGACCCTTCATGCCAGAAATCCTCAATCTTACAGCATGTGATTTTTCATAAATGTGACCCTGCAGCACAAAAGCAGTGTTAAGTCGCTGGGGTATATTTGTAGCAATAGCCAACAATACATTGTATGGGTCAAAATTATACATTTTTCTTTTATGCCAAAAATCATTAGGATATTAAGTAAAGATCATGTTCCATGAAGATATTTTGTAAATGTCCTACCGTAAATATATCAAAACTTAATTTTTGATTAGTAATATGCATTGCTAAGAACTTCATTTGAACAACTTTAAAGATTATTTTCTCAATATTTAGATTTTTTTGCACCCTCAGATTCCAGATTTTCAAATATTGTCCTATCCTAACAAACCATACATCAATGGAAAGCTTATTTATATAAATCTCAATTTGCAAAAATGGACCTTTATGACTGGTTTTGTGCTCCAGGGTCACATATGACAGATGAGACCCTTCTTGCCAGGGTCTTGAGAAATCCTGAATCTCAAAGCACGTGATTTTTCATAAATGTCGACGCGGTGGGCGTTGATGCAACAGCTATTTCTTAAAGTCTGTGTGCAGATCTCGCAGGATTCGTCCCACATACCTCAGAGAGACAGAGAGAGAGAGAGAGACACAGAGAGACAGAGAGAGAGAGAGAGAGAGAGAGAGAGACAGAGAGAACGGCTCCCTCTCTCGTCCACCGGAGGCCTGGCCAGCAGAAACAGACCATTCTCTCTCTCTCATTCACTCTCTCTGTCTCTCTCTCTCTGTCTCTCTCTCTCTCTCTCTGTCTCTCTCTCTCGCGCCAGCATCCCAGTGACAGCTGAGTGGCTGCCGTGTAATTGCAGAGAAGTGAGGTCAGCAGGAGGCTTTTATCAGAGATCGCACAGCGATCAGAAACACGAGAAGAAGATGCACAGTGCAGACGGCAGCCCCAAAGCTCCCTCTCTCTGTGCGTCACACTGGAAGTTTCTCTGGAATCGTCAGGACTGAAGCGCACAATCTGGAAGCAGAAGTAAGTCACTTTTAAAAACTGTTTTTACAAAGAATTATCGTAAGATGTTAAAACAATATATCAATTTGGCAGAAACTAGACAGAGGCGAATATAGTGTCATTTAAAATAGCAGCAGAGCAAAACTGAGACATTTAAAACAGAAATGGAGCAATACTGAAACATTTACAGTAGAAATAGTGTGACACTATGACGTTTAAATGAGAGAAAGAGCAACATTGAGACATTTAAAGAAGTGATAGAGCAATACTGAAGCATTTGAAGTAGAAATAGTATTGTCCGATCCTAACAAACCATACATCAATGTGAAGCTTATTTATTCAGCTTCCAGATGATGCATAAATCCCAATTTTGAAAAACTGACCCTTATGACTGGTTTTGTGCTCCAGGGTCACGTATCATTATTATGCTTTCTATATATATACTGTATATATACTGATAGACACTGAACACATGTAGAATCTGTTTTATATGTGAATTATGCTGATTATTGTGGAACTGACCTGTCTCCTGTATCTTCATCAGGAATGGACAGTGTGTGAAGCGTCCGTTTGTTGATTTGTGTCATTAACAGCAGAAACGAACACACTGCTCTGAGGAGATTCTGCTGCTGGAGGTCAGAGGTCACGCCAGCATCTGAGGATTGTACTGGGAAAGGGTCCGAGCGGATCTCCCACAGCTTGAAGATCCAACCTGAGTTTAGCCTTCAGTATGTGGATCATGAACTCCCTGAGAAACGCAGTATAATGCGCAAATGGACGCTGCGATGGAAACTGCCTGAGTTTGCGTGTGGACTGTGGCTGGCGCTGCTGGTCAGCCGAGTGTGTGTGTGTGTGTGTGATGGAGAGTCTGTGACCGACTGCTCCAAACACGAGCGCCACACCAGGAACTACGACTACATGGAGGGAGGGGACGTTCGGATCCGACGCCTCTACAGTCGCACGCAGTGGTTTCTGATGATCGACGAGTTCGGGAACATCAACGGGACGCAGGATCCCAACAACTGCTACAGTAAGAGCGTCTTCATCTTTCTGTTGCGTGCCATACATTCATTACATACATTCATTTGGGCTGCTTTTTTGATCTAAAACAATGTGTCTAAAACTCATATTTGGTAAAGGCCTCTTAAAGGGATAGTTCACCCAAAAATGAAAATTAGCCCATGATTTAGGTATCCTAGGTGTATATGACTTTCTTCTTTCATATGAATCCAATCAGAGTTATATTTCAAAACGTCCTGGCTCTTCCAAGCTTTATAATGGCAGTGGATGGGTGTTATTTTTCATACAGTCCAAAAGAAGTGCAATAAAGTGCATCCATCCGTAATAAAAAGTGCCTCACACGGCTCCGAGGTGTGCGTTTTTGTAGGAAACATATCCATATTTAAAACTTTATAAACAGTATTCTCTAGCTTCCGCTAACTGTCGTACGTTCACAATAGAACGCCATTCCGGCAGATGACATAGGACTATGCGTAGTGTAATCTCCAGTGAGAATATGCTAGTCTTGCGAGAACCAACATTTGTTTACAGGAGCAGAGGAAGCAAAGTTTCCGTACTTTAGCAAAGAAAAAACAGACATTTTTCTTTACAAATCCTCGTTTTGTGATTCTAATTATTTTGTTTTGCGCTTCCGCGTTCGTCAGTTCATCCTACGTCATCCGCCGGAACGGCGTTCTATTGTGAACGTGCGTACGACAGTTAGCGCAAGCTAGAGATTACTGTTTATAACGTTTTAAATATGGATATGTTTCCTACAAAAACGCACACCTCGGAGACGTGTGAGGCACTCCAATTTGATTAGTCTGAAAGAAGAAAGTCATATACACCTAGGATGGCTTAAGGGTGAGTAAATTATAGGGCAATTTTCATTTTTGGGTGAACTTGTCCCTTTAAGTTATAGCAGAGTGTTTTCTCACTGTATGTCGGCTGGTCAGGGTTCCAGTGGGATTATGAGCAGGTCGCGTGGCCGTGTGACGAGAAGTGACAGGAGTAAAGAGAAACAGGTGTTTGGGGGGAGTATTTATAACTCTTGTTTCCCTTCGCTAGAAGACTTAGTGGTCAGAAGTTATCAGATGTGGTCAGAATGGAGGTTCAGTTCAGTGACTGCAATCTAGATTGTGTAGAGAGCGTCAAAACAACAACAAAAAATGAGACTGGAGGCTGATGCTGTGTGCATGGATACCTAATGAATTATTAAATGGAAAAAATAAATATTTAAATAATTGATTATTCACTTTAATTATCATGTATATACATAACATCAGCCCCAAGCATGTTTGGTTATTAGTAATCTCGGTTGTGTACGAGAAGAAAGTGGTCATGTATGCATCTCTGCTCTGGAGGGAAAATGATTACGTCAGCTGGCGCTGAAAAGAAGAAAAATTGATACAACCAGATGTGGCCGACAACTGCACGCACAGAGCGCATGCAAGACATGCAGTGAGGGTCGGAGAGGGACGGGAGAGAAAAGCAGACGCGTTGTGAGGCTCTGTCAGAGCTGTGCCGTGACAGCAGCTTATTATACCACTGGAGCCACTTACATGTGAAGCAAACACTTCCAGACACACACACACACACTCACACACTCACACACACACACACACTCACACAAACTCTCACACACACACTCTCACACACTCACTCACAAGTGAAATCACACACTCACATGCACTCGTATTCAGGTTTAAGTCCCCACCAGAATAGAAAAACAGGTACACACACACACACACTCACACACTCTCTCTCTCACACACACACACTCTCTCTCACACACACACACACACACACGCATATTTTGCTTTATAGGAATGGATTCTGAAAGGTGATTCCTGCATTATTAAACAGAACTGCAAGAATAATTTCTTTGCATATTGAGCTGAGATACAACAGAAGTATTTTAACACCCCAAAAATGGCACACTTCACCTTTAAACCATTAATTACCTCATAAACTCCCAAACAGCATCTCAAATAAAGTTAGTAATAATTACCACAGACTAACTCGGACTGTTATTTAGGTCAGTGTTATTTTAGTATCACTGGCATACTATCATTTGTTAATATTTTAAATTAGATTTTATTTTCATATTTTCTGCTTTCATGTCAATTTTAATTAAAGTTTTGGTAACACTTAAAGCCTTTATGTATAATGCAGAATAAAAGTAGTTTTAATGCATTAATTATGCCTTATAATGCATTGTACAATCTCATGAATAGTTGTAACCACAGTTAATACATTATAACACTTATCGATTCATTGTTACACTATGCATTTTAAATTCGGTTATAATTATTTACAACAAGATATAATGTATTACAACTCACATTATGAATAATTAGGTTACACTTTATTTTAAATGCATTAAACCCTCTTATAACCCTTTACAATGCATTATACATAAAGGCTTTAAATAAAGTGTTACCGTCATTTTGTTATGTTTCTGTCATTTTTATTAGTTTGTAAATATGTCTATATAGATTATTATAGTTAGCTAAAACCAGCGTGTCTTCATGCGCTCAGGCCGATCCGCTGTGTGTGTTTCAGGTGTTCTGGAGATCAGGACGGTTTCAGAGGGCGGTGTGTTGGCCATAAAAGGACTGAAGAGCCAGTATTATATTTCCATGAACCGCACCGGAATGTTACAGGGCAAGGTATAAAGCCATCCGTCCTGCAAACACACAACATACACCAGTTAATCAGATTATCCCAGCTAACGCTCTCTCTCATCTTTCATTGAAGAGTAAATATAACACATGCCACGGATAATTCAGCAAACACAACACAATGCAATACATCTCGCTTCTGTCGTACCTTACGATCTGTTCTTCTTTCCCGAGCAGAAAGACTACAACGACAGCTGCAACTTCAAAGAAGTGTTTTTAGAGAACTACTACACGGCGTACTCGTCCGTCAGATGGACTAAAAACGGAGAAGCAGCTGGTAAAAGATGTTAAATATATGAAAGTGTTTTGGACTCATGTAAACTAACAGTTATAAAAACTCATCTGTATTTTGAGATGAAGCTATTTTTATATTTCAGAGAGATGTTTATGTTTCTGTTCATGGCACTTTCACCACCATTAGAGCCCAAAACAATGAAAACACCAGATAAACACTGCAATGCATTTATACAGACGAACATTCTCATTAAACACGGCAGCGCTGTGTTTGTTCTTTAAACATCACAGTTTATATCGCTCCATTTATACTGCATAAATACATTCACATCCCATCAACATTCATCCTGAGGAGTTGTGATTTTAGTTTGAGACATTCCCTTCTCATTTCTACAATTCAGTGAGAAAATAATAGCAGTTGCCTTGCTTCATTTTGACTCTTTTTTTGATGCATGTGATTGATCCATCAGTTCTAAGAAATACTATGTTTGTCTTCATAATCTTCCATCCAAATGTCCTAATGATTTTCCTTCCCGTCATCAATCCGCCCTCACATTGAGACGCTTTCAGCATGCAGTCAGTTGGAGTAATTCTGGTAAACACACGATGAGTCGATGCTTTAACGTGGGAGTCTGACCGCATTTCGTTTCTCATAATCGCTCGGCGCTCTAATGCGATCGTGTCCATGTGTTGCTGTGTGTTATTTATGATATTTATGTGTCGCTGGCTCTGAGTTCATGACCGCAGTGAACCGTCTGTGTTCTGGATCGCTGTGCTGCAAACACACACACAGAGTTTGCAGGAGTTTATCATTTGCTGCTAGAAATCTGAGATTTTATATGATTAAACATGTATATTGTTCCTTTCTATGGAGTGGCGTGTTGTGAGGTTTGTTCCTGTGGTCTTTATCTGGACACACGACGGGTGTTTATACAGCACAGAAAACACACGCTTCTGATCCGCTTCATCAGTCACTGCATGGATCTGATTCTCTCTGTTTAACATTATAATGACTGCGAGAACGTTCATCTCCAGACATTTAGGTCCTCGTTCTCTGTCAAACACTAATCACCACAATGCATCATTCAAACAATGATGACTTTTTTCGGTTTGGACAGAAACTGACAATCGACAGTAAAATTCTGAACACAGTGTTTTACAGTAAGACCTTTATGTTAAATCTGGTCAAATACTGGAATTTTTAGGATCGTTATCTCCGTCTCTCATTCACAACACACCCTCATTATACTTGTACAATGAAATCATTTACAATCTAATCAATATTTAATCATTTATTTTTTGATTTCACTTTCTCTCTCACACACTCTCTCTCTCTGCTCACACACACACACTCACACCCACACTCAGTTTCTTGCACACACACGCACTCTCTCTCTCTCTCTCTTTATCACACACACACACACTCTCTCACACACACACACACACACACACACACACACACACACTCTCTCTCTCTCTCTCTATCTCACACACACACACACACTCTAACACACACA